TGGCCTCCGGGGCAGGGCTCTGGGGGGGTGGCGGTTTGAAGGCTCGGGTTGAGGGGTGGGGCTGGGAGTTGAAGGCTTTGGGGTTGGGTGTCATGGCTATGGGGGTGGGGTGAGGTCTGGGGTCTTGAAGGCACTGGGTCTGGGGTGGGGGGGCAGGCTTGTGGGCAGCTGGTGCTGCAGGCACTGGAGGGCAGAGAGTTTGGGCCTGCAGTGAATATAGCTTGGAGGGGCGTGCCTTGGAGATCCACTTCCCCAGCTGGGTGTCTACTGGGCTGTATTTACTTGGTCCCCATGGGTTGGTCTGGGGCAGGTTGTTCTGTTCCATGGAGTTGCTCTGGGGACTCAGATGTTCCCTTGAGAAGGGGATTGGGGAGGGTTCCCTGAATAGAGGCAGAGTGAAAGTGGCTTTATTCATGATGGGGTGGGAGGGAATTTAGTGAGGCAGCCTGGGGTTCTCACCATGTCCTTTGCTTGGGGATAAGCTTTCCCTGTTATATAGGACCTCCTGGCTAGGGTCCATGTTTGTTCACCTTATGGTGGATGGGTAAATCTGGAATGAAGCCCACGGGAGGTGTCTGTGTGGGGAGAGGAAGTGGATGCAGGTCCCAGTGCAGATGGGGGGGCTGTTCTGATATGGGGTAAGGTCAAGTCTGGCTCAATGCCTTGGTACCCTACACGTTCAGGGTTAAAGGCAAATCATTGCACCTGTCTTCACTTCATTCCTTGTAGTTTTGCCAGGACACTGACTGTTCCAAGGTAGTTATAATTGGACGTTTGATCCTTGTGTCCTTGGGCTGTTGCCTTCTCTGCCATCCTCTATGTCTGAGAGTCAACACTTCTCTTCAGAGCATTTTGCTGGTTTGCTGGTTGAAATCCTTTGGGATAAAAGGGGTTATAGAGAGGGAGGGAGTCACTCTGTCTGTCTGGTGAGAATTCCTGCAAGTGCAGGAATGAGCTGCTGCCAGCTTGGAGGGAAGGAGCAGAAAGCATCTCTAGGTTACAGTATTAGTTGGCTTGGCTTCACAGTGGTGTGGCCCCCGTCCTCGTGATTGCACGCTTCAGGGGAATTTTGCTGCTTATTTTAAAGAGTGGCTGCTTTTGGTCGAGGTATGTTTTTTTGTTAGCAACAGCAACCACAGACACATCCAGGATCAATGCTCCATTGTTTGTGCAGTGCCCACCACACTATAGTAAGACATGCCGTCTTGCTCAACTTTCTAATTAGAAGATCATACAATTGTACGACTGGAAGGGGCATTTAGAATTCATTTAGTCTGGCCCCCTGGACTCCTGGCAGGACTAAGTATGATCTTGACCATCCCTGACTGGTGTTTGTATTACCTGCTCTTTAGAACTTCCAATGAGGTAAATTTCACAGTGTCTCTGTGTAATGTAAACCACCCTGTCAAGGAAGTTTTGCCTAATGGCCAACCTTAACTGTCCTTGCTGCAATTTAAGCCCATTGCTTTCTGTCCTATCCTTAGAGTAAAAGAGAGAATTTTTTTAACTCCATGTTGTGATAACAGTTTTCAAGTACATAAAAGATTATGTCCCCAGATAAACTCAATTTTTTCCCATCTTTCCTCATAGGTCATGTGTTTTAGATCTTTATTTTTATTGCTCTTCTCTGGACTTTCTCCAGTTTGTCTATATCTTTCCTGAAATCCATTAATTATGATGCATTTGAAAGGTGTGAGTCACCAATATTTAGGCTTTTCATCTTTTCTGCTTTACCTTCACATATATGCTGTTGTAAAGTGAAACATAATCATCTTCTTTGCCGAAAGCCCAGCCCTGTTCACCTTCTCTGCAGGGATAATCGAGGCAGAGTTCCTCTCTGTCAATGTACTGTATTGTTTCAGAAGGTGTATTGGTGTTAGGCGATGCTGGAAAGCCTCAGACATGCTTTCTGCTTTTATCAGACTAATTTGTACTTTACAAATATGAACCACCCAGTTCAGCTATCCTGGGAAGGTTTAGGGACCCGCCTCTGTTAAAATCAGTGTGAGTTTTGACATGGTCTTCAGTGACAACTGGATCAGGTCTGAAGTAACTTGCCAGAGCTGGGTTAGAATGGATGAGCTGTTGTGCTCCCATCACCTTTCTCTTTATTTCTTATTAGGAAAGTTTGTTAAAGATGAGAATCTTAACAGATGGGATTGACAGCTGCAGTGCCGCAGCAACCTCTTATTATGGGATATTGAGTGTTTCCAGTTCCTGCAGTGATTCTGCTTTGAGCTGACATCCACATTTTTTCACTCACAGAAATCAAGAGTCTTGTATATCTGTTGAGATGAGCTAGAAGCCAGTATCACGGGTCTGAAAGGAACTTCTAACATTTAATCCTCTCCTCCCTTTTATTTGCAGGCCGTGTGTACTACTTCAACCACATTACAAATGCAAGCCAGTGGGAGCGCCCCAGCGGTGGTGGGAGGAATGGCCAAGGAGAGCCGGCTAAAGTGCGCTGTTCACACCTCTTGGTGAAGCACAACCAATCCAGAAGACCCTCATCATGGAGGCAGGAAAAGATCACGCGGAGCAAAGATGAGGCACTGGAGCTTATAAATGGCAAGTAAAAGCAAGAGAGAGGTTGATAGTAGTAAAGGGGAAAGTCATGTTAAGGCCTAAACCAAACACCTGAGAGAGAAATGACTTTTTAGTTGCATGAAATCTCTAAGGCAAAGTTGTTGAGCCAAGTGCTCAAACATGGACTTCAGTGTAGCATAGCCACCTGGGGAGTCAATTTTTCTGATTAAATGACTTAAGAACAGGATCCCTCCCTTCCCCATCCCCTCTTTGCATTTTTGTAATGTCATGTCAGAAAGGTGTTTGTATTTTTTGTAAATGTGTATATTATTTTTATATTAAAAATAAAACAATTATTTGAAGCTAAAACTAAACGTTCCTTTAACATCTTCCTTTTCTATGTTTAAGATTTCATTTGACTATTTTCCCAACTGCAGTTACAGTAAATTGTGATGAGTCTGTGCCTAAGAAATGCATGAACATTTGCACAGGCATGTTCAAAGATCCTGTTAAGCTGATTCACAAAACATACATTTCCCAGCACAGTAAGTTGTCCAGTGTGCGGTGGCCTTAAGCGGGTCCAGAAGTGATGGGATCCTAGTCTTTCCTATGCCTGTGGTGCCAAGTCAAGCACGTATTGTCCCTTGTAATGCAGTAGCGTTTAACTGGGATGCTGCTTAGCCAGTGAACTGTGGTCTTGTGGACTGGTGTTGGCTTTTATAGGCAGGATTCTAATCCCACCTTCTCCATTGCCTCTTGCTTTGGGATCAGGTTAGACAGGGCCTGGGTGAAGTGAGTGGGAATCTTCCTACTGACTTTGGCTCAGAACCTTACCCTGTTTCCCATTACAAAATATGACCTGACCTACCTCCCAGGGGTGTTGTGAGGACTAGCACTTGGTACAGTATGTGAAGCATCTGGTACTGCTGCATGCTGTTACGTTATTGTAAAGTTTCTTGTTGCTTTTGGAGGGCTCAAATGAGGTTTTACTCGCTACCCCCTTGATCTTGCTTCATTTTAAAAAAACAATTTGACAGCGTTTGGGGGGAGAGGAAAATCACCCCACCAAACACTATGAAGCCCTAAACGGGGTACTAAATAGGGATGTTAAGAAGCTTCAGGTGGTAGCCAGGTTAGTCTGTACAGGATAAACGTAAAACAACAACCCATAGTCTGGTAGCACTTTAAAGACTAACAAAACATGCAGATGAAGTGGGCTGTGCCCATGAAAGCTCATGATACCATCCACCTGTTTTGTTAGTCTTTGGAGTGCTACCAGACTATTTGTTGTTTTTGTAAGTTAGGGATGTTAAATATTGGTTAATTGAACAGTCAATTAACCTCATGAATTCTTATTGGTTAGTTCCCGGTCCGTCCCTGTCCGGGGAGGATGTGAGCTCCCAGACCTGGCATGAGCCGGAACTGAGCCAGGCTGCCTGCCCACCTGGCTCCTAATACACTTTAAATGCAGAGCCAGGGGATAGGTCCAGGACCCAGTGCAAGCTGGCACTGAGCTGGGCTGCTGGCCAGTCTGCCAAAAATGTATTGGCAAGTGGTGGGGGAGGAATGTGTGTAATCTATACCATTGACCTATAAGCTTTTGCTTATTGGTAATCAGTTAATCAACTATTTGGTTACATCCCTAGTACTAACCAGCAGGTGGTGCCATGTGTTTTGAAAGTGATGCTGAATTAACCACCAAGAGTAATAGCACCTTTTCAGGATGTTCTCCTTTGAAAGCCAGGTTGGTTAATTAGTGGTATCTAATAAAGCAGCTGTTATGGAGTGTGAAGAGTTACAGTGAAGTTTATTAGAACTGTGCACATGGAGATAGACTTTTATAAATAAAATTTGAAATGTTTGACAGCCAGGCTGCAAATACTAATTGATCCTAGTAGGTTCATTAACATCTTTGGGTGAAACTCACCTCTGTGCAAAGCGCTGGCACAAGGACTGTGTATCGCCTGGCTTACTGAAGCCCTAGTTTAAAGACTGCAGTAGTCCCTAGGCCTCATGTTGCGCCCTGTCCCAGAGGTGAGGGTTTAGGGGAGGCCTAGGTCTTGTTTGCTCTTTGCTTGGGGGGGAATTTCACATCACACCAAATACTTGACAGTTGACACCTTGTACTTCAGCAAACCTTTGCCAGCATCACTGGTACAGCAAAAGCCAGTTATCTAATCTGACTGCAGCCCAATCGGATAATCCAGAAAATGAGAGAGTGCAGAATTGCAGTGCCATCTGGTGGCCACAGGAACGAGAACCTAGTTCTGGCACTGTGTGCACTGGTGGTTTGGGTCATGGGGAGAGCTGGATCATGGAGGGTTGGCTAAATGGGGCTCAGTTGTACTGGCAATGAGTGCTGCTGTCGTTTACAGAGCAGTTATTCATAAACTCGGGTCCAAGTGAGAGAATAAACTGTAGAGGGAAAAGTTCTCTTGAACTGTTATCCAAGTCGTATTTCAGAACCTTACAGGCAGTTCAACTTCTTTGCTGTTAGAAGAAGCCCAACTAACCTTCTGAATAAATGAATGTCTTTATAAATTTGTTTGGGTGCCATCTTTTATCTCAGACACAATAGGGCTTCAATGTCCAATACGGTCACAGAGACTTTTTTAACTTGTTCTATGAGAGATCCAGTTATCGTTTATTTTAATTTTTTTTGTTAGTGCTAGACTAAAGTGCAGATCTGACAGTTGTGAAGACTGAAGTCCCTTCACTGTCAGATAATTTTTATGTTTAAGTCTTTTTTCCAGTGTGGCACCTAAGGACAAGAAAGATGTGATTCAAATTGATTTGTAAGTGTCCTGCTTTGTTCTTGATAAAGGCCATTAGGGATTCTTTATTCATCATGTTTATTATCATTATATTTTTGCCTCCTAAGAATGAAATGTCATGATCAAAAAATCTTTCTGTCAACACTCCCATCTGTGCTTGATAAACACTATTTTCTGGAAAGGTCACAGAGAACATCCACTCACGTAATTATTTTATGTAGATTGTCTGCATTTTCTTTGCTCAGGAAGGTGAGATGATATACTGATACTGTTGACATGGAAAAATCCAATCGGTATTATCCTCCTGAAAATGACAGAAAATCATAAAGTTTAAAAAAAACCCACTAGAGAATGTATTGCATGACTGCACATCCTAACTCCACCACAGTTTCTGACTAATGGTAAGGCATCATTGAATTTCTTTGAGCAGATGTACTGTACCTGATGAACGTAATTATAGCACAGAATTGTTTAAGTAGATCTCTCGGGAAGCATTTGTTCGACAGACGTAGCACCACAAAGTCTTACGCTTTGTTTAGAGAGTGGCTATGTCTCTGATATTTCCTTCAGAATCTTTAATTCTGGAATTAATGTTTTATGCAATATAAACCTGCGATTGAAATTTGTTTAAGGAAAATGCTTTATATTCTCTCCTCAGGGAATTTGCTAAAGGTTAGCATTTTTAGATAGATGAACTGTGGCTAGTTTTGGACCTTTTACTTGCTTATGGTTCTCTTTCCAGTAATAAAGAAAAGAGATTGAAGATGAGAGGTGATGAGCAATTTGTGAATAAAGCATCATTGCAAAATCTTACGCCATTACGAAAGTTACAAGGGGTCAATAAAATGTAAAATTAAATTAGTTTTCATTGTAATCTTGATATTTTTATTGGTATTATAGCAGTGCTTAGAGGGCTCTGTTGTGCCACGCTCGGCACAGATACATAGCGAGAAATAGTTCCTGCTTTGAAGAGTTTAGGATTGAAATAGACAACACAGGGTTGGTGAAAAGAAGGATTAGTGATCTCATTGGGATGGGAACGCGTAAACAGTTACCCAATAAGCCTGGACTTACCCGTTAACATTCACAGTTACCTGCTGGTTCCAGTCCCACTCCTGGGGAGTCAGCTGCTGCTTCTGTGCTGCTACCTCTGATACAGCCAGCTTCTGAGGAGTGGGGCTGTGGGCAGGAGCCACCTGCCATGCAGGTGCAGGTAACTGGGTATCCACTGAGTGTATCATCCATTACGTAATTAACTGCTTTTTAGCATCCATCTTGGAGATGAGGGAGCTGAGGCACCAGGAGTTAGTACCTTGCCCAGAGCTGCACAAGGAATCTATGGCAGAACAAGGAGTTGGCCTTAGTTCAGTGCTTTAACCATAAGATCATCTAACCCTTTGTCCAAACATAAAACATATTTGCCTGGTAAACTGTCAGACATTTAGCAGAGCTGTTGCAACCGCATTTAGTTGAACCTTGCAGGCTTGTGAAATTCATTCAACTTCATTCTCCAGAAGCTGTGAATGGCACGAAGATCATGGTGCAAACTGACGATGCAGGGGCTTTAATGTTAAAGGTTATGATCCTTCCTTAACTCAGGCAGCTTTCCTTTTTTTTTAACGTGTGCATGCACATTGATACGATGGCAGGTGATACAACATTTACTGGCAGGGTTAGGGTGATGCTTGGAAGTAAACATGAACTTAGGGCGATGCAAATATGTATTTTGGATGAATGCTGTATTTTGATAGCAAATATTTTGTGCAAGTGCTCTGTTTACACTCGGCTGGAGCAGCTTAGTTTAATTAGATAAACAATATTAAATTTTTCCACTGTGATGTGCATGCATAAGTGCCATGAAAACAAACTCTTTTCTGCCCTGAGGCACCAGAGCTGCAAAAAGCCCCTTTGGGGTAAATGGCTTCTTATAATCTACATTAATCTTTCTCAAAGTACAGAACTGATTCTGAACTGATGCACAGGTCCCTTTGCATGCTCTCCACTTACTCTCTCCCCCCCCCCCCCCCACACACACATCAAAAAAAAACCTCTAAGGAATATATACTAAATATAAAAGATGTGATAAATAGCCATACCCCTTGAATTTAGCAGTGCTGCTTGTGTCTTAAAGTGCATCATCACATTCATTCCTCCAAAGGAATATGAACTCCCATGGTGCTCAAAATATCGTCATAGGGCTGTAATCAGATGTTGGTCTCCCCATTCCCCAATCTGCCACTTTCTGGCAGCTTTCTCACAGGCCTGGCT